TAACGACAATACTTTGGGTGTTATTTAATTTATTCTAAGTTTTATACTTTAAAATTTAATCAAAGCAAAATGTTTATTATTTGTTTACAATATTCACAGTATTATTTTTAAATATATGAAGTTTTCTAATCGTTTTGCATGCTTCCAAGTCTTTTTTTTTTCTTTATTTCTTTCTTTTTTGCAGGAATGCACCGCTTAGTGCGGTTAAATGCAGTNCATCCTGTGATGAAATTCGGAAGTATTTACACTATAAAACAATAGAAAAAATCAAAAGAATCATTAAACAATATTCATTGATTTTTTTAAAAAAAATACAATCAAATACGTTTCGATACTTTTAATGTTGTTATTTTTATGACTGGTAGTTGGTTGGCCTTTGTTTTTTTTTCTACGTAAACTTAATTTAACCACTGACTATTAGGAAACACTATTAGGATTACAGTCGACCCCCCTATAACACTGTTGATAATTCCGTTTTATATGAATTCCATGTTATACGAGTCACTTAGATTTTAGAAATACGTGAGCCGTTCACACGTTATAGGGGGTCGACTGTAATATTTCTAATTTTGCATTATTTAACATATAATTAGATTAATTTTTAGTTTAGGTATACCAAAGAGTTTAGATTTCTGCAATTATTAAATGTTGTACTTCCTATACTATTGGATGTCTTATGCAATGTTTGTCCAGCTGTCTTGTATCTGTATTGTCGAGATTTTAATGTGGTAGCTCAGATGGTATTAGAAGGTACTTTATTTTGTTAATTATAAATCAACAGCTGTCGTAAAAATTACATTTTGCTATATTTATATCACATATAAAACAATATATAAGAAAGCATTTAAATATATAGTATTATTCATAATACAGTCGAGTCCATTAACAGAACATTGGATAAGGGAGACGATAAGAGTGCAGGATAAGGGAACATTTGTCCATATTTTCGATTTTCTCCCTATGTTTATTCTAGTCTAAGCATTTTTAGAGAAGAAGCACGCATAAGAGAGCACTATTCTATGGAAGATTTACAAAAATCTATCTTCAATCTTGCGATAATTATCGACCAAAGCACATTGCAACAAGGTTCTCTACACTATGGTATACGCTATGTTATGTGGTTAGTTTTCTAATACACGGACAGTCAAAGATTTCGTACAAAAGCAGGTTTTATCGGGCACACATATCAGTAGCAATTACACATTTAGAAGGTAAAATATATATGAACAAACGGCGAAAATCACACTTACCTTGTCATCTCGAGTGGACAACGCAAGAAGTAATTAGTGTCCAGATTTTGAAATTCACACGACTTTACTTTAAGGTTTTATTGTATTTAATGTCTTTATATTGTAAAGTACATTCCATTAGAGAGCATTCAAAAGTGATCAATCTTAGAGCATTGATTGATGTTCATTCTTTTTCAGCTAAGTCATCTATTGTATTTCTGGGAAGAAGTGAAAGTAATGTGACTAGTAAATATACTATATTTATTAATTATTTGATAGAACAATAAAATTGATGATTTAAGAATAGAAAACAAAATGAAATTACAGAAAAATTATGCGATAATGAATTTTAACGTTTCCAATTGTGGTGTAAGCTATGTAGAGCTTCTAACACACGAATGAATGGAAAGTATAAATCCTGAAAAGTATGGATGAACAGACCTGTAACGAATTATTCAAGCGTTCAAACAAATATATTGCTTATACAAAAGCAACCTTGAAAGGTCTTATACATTCGAGACTTGTAAAATATTGCTTTTTTTTCTTGGCAAATCTTCAATCAATAAGGAAAAATTATTTAAAACGTAAATTATTGTCTATACCCTTTTGAGTAAAACATATAAATGTATTGTATATCAAGATCTCTCTTATTTTCAAGTCTTGTAAAATTATATTCAAATGATTAAACCTTATCCAACCCCCTAGATGACCTTATTACTTTGGATAAAAAAATCTATTGTAATAAGGGAAGGAGGATCTATGTCTTAATTATTCATAAATACATAATGAATTTTTACATTGTTTTATGTAATTAAATGTAGCGAGTAAACAGCTAATAGAAGAAATTATCTCTTTTAACTTAAAATAAAATAATTATAATACTAAAAATTTTAATCACTGAGGAAAAAACGTTGTGTTTAATAACACCATTAAAATGGATTAATTTATTTCTCCTATTGAGAAATTGTTTGAAACAACAACAATATTAAAAGTATTTCCTTAAATTACTTTATCTTGTGTGTAGTTTTATAATAAACCTATAAAAACAATTATTAATTTATTTGTGGTTAAAAAATTCAACTTCGTAACGATATTTAAAATTTACATATTAATTTTATAAGTCTCAAATACTCTAATTTTGATTTTTAGAATCTTTAATAATAAAAAAAAGTATGTATTAGTAACACAAACTCGTGTACTTTTCAACGTTAATAAAGACAATACATGGGGTTTTTAAATGAGCTTATTGTATTTTAATTAATTCAATCCTGTAGTATTATTAATTAATTTTCCATGTAAAATATTTAGTTTTTGTAACAATAAGAAAAAAATAATAATTTCTTAGATATAAATAGGATTTGAATGAACCCTGTTTTACTTCTTTGTTTTGTAGTAATTTATTTATTTATTTAAATAGAAATAATAATTATTCTTTTAAAATAATCTATAAGAAATAACTCAAAAATTATTTTTGATTTACGATGTGAATTTTTCTTATCCGAATAGAAATCGAACATAAACATATTCATTCAACCATTTTATACTGACTGATAACTCTAATAATTGTTAGAGAATGACTCATAATTTGAAGAAAAATATCCGTGACTGGAAAATATTCTAGTTATAACACTGAAGAGGGGTTGAAAGTTCACGTCTACCCGAAATTAAGAGCTGAAATTTTGGTTTCTGTCATAGAACTTCATTCTGCTAATGTTTAAAGTATTCTCAATCAATTCTACCTCCAAAATTAAATTCTGTTCTTAATTGAAATCTACGAATACCTAGGTTTAAGTATAAGGACATAATAGAATCATCAGTAGCTTAAGTATTCTTATTATGCTGTATTATATAATGGTAATATTCAAATAGCAAACTTGTAAACAGGAAGTTTTGTTAATTAAGTTTTACATTATTAACGACAAAAATTATTCTGGGTGAATAAGAATATTGTTAGAAAGTAAGGCTGTTGAAAAGTACTATACTATACAGTAAAAAATACAGTAGTAACCAATAATGAATTAGTCAAGCGTTTAATATATATTTATACACAGGAAACCTTGAAATATCTCTTTATAATCAAACTACTGAACAATGGTAGTCGATTGCGAGGTGGCGAGTGAGGTTTTCTGTGTTTTCTTCAGGAGTTTAATATCTAAATAGATGCCAGTTTCCTATAAAGAGTTTTCCTGGGAGGCACTTTTCGTTGCCAGATTACTCATGTGTTGCGATACCATATCTCATCAAACCAAACTAAATCAAACAATATAAGTATATAGATTAACACAATACTAAGAAAGGATTAAACAGTTAGAAATAAATGGTAGTCTATGGGTATAAGAGATGGTAAGTGTCAATTTTCATTAATACTTTATAATGCGTGCTAACAGATAAAAAAACAATGTATTTACATTGTATTTAGAACAATTTAAATATTATTTACTTTTTAACTATAACATGCAATTTATTCTGATTGGAATAAAACGAAAAACTTCTTAAGACGGTTCATTTTTGCATTTTCTCTAAACTTTTATTACAGAGTTTACCATATTTTACATCCCAACCCTTCAAATAAATGTTATGTATACAATTATTTATTATGAGATCGTCACAATGCCGGGCTGCAATTTTTTAAAATCGTATTTTAAATTTATTTAGTTTAAAATATATGTTCTCCATCTCAAATTAATAGTGTCTTACCCCTGTACATTATATTTTTCCTGTTAGCAACGGAGTCGTGCCATTATCTATTTAACTCCTTACAGGGGAAAATTTTTGAATTGAAATAACGTAAATTTCAGTTTGCGTAGGAAGTTCATATATAGTTAATTTGGTCTTCCTGCCCATATCTGGTCTCAATTCAAATTGCAGCCCAATAATATAAATTTATAGAAAAACAAGTATTTTTAAAGTATAATGTAATCCCAGGATCACATTATGTGTTAAAAATGAAATTCAATACATTAAAAATAATATTTTAAAATGAAAATCAATAACAATAAATTGTACTATTTGAATAATAGTGCCAGTTATTTTATTTACTATCATTTTTCATATCAACTGTCAGAAGGTATTATTATCATAAGCTTGTTTTGCATGATAAAGTATTGTACATAGAATTTAATTAATATGTTGTAAAACGTGTGATTGTTATAATCAGATGTTTTTTCGTTCGTGATTCGCAATTCGTACTCTTATAGCAGTTGAAGATATTGTTTCAATTGAAAATCTTTCTCTCTTTCTCTCAAAAAAAGGGCTTAATGACCTGAAAAGGTCATAGTTCATTTCTATAATTATCATTTTATAATGCAGATTTTATGAACAATATTAAGTCAAAGTATAGAAATAAATTCTCATTATAAAACTAGATTAAACACAGAATGTAGAGGGAAATGTTATAGATATTTGAATCTTATTTTGTTTCAGAGATGATTAAAATTATTTCGTAAAATATGCTAAAAAGTTATTTCTACAATGGAATGATCTTTATTTATTTGCATATTAAGAAATAATTTAGATAATATATTAAACTGGAGACAGTTTAAATTCAAAAACAATCTTTCATATGTATACTGTACAATTTTTTATTTTTTTATTTTGCGTGGGGTCCATGTCTTGTAGTTTCAGTCAAGCGAATCACAGAGCATTCAGATATTATTTAAAAAATGATTGGCTAGTTGTAAATATATATTTTCAGTCACGACAAGAATAATATATACAGTAGTTAGTTACAATAGCGGAAACATACCAGACATTGTGATGTAGACACAAAAATAAACGTTAATAATGAGTTCGAGAAGATTTAATAGGTCAATAATCCCTATATTTATCTCGTTCGATATCGATTTGCATAAATGGTATTGTGATAAATGTCGATACGCTCTTCAAGAACAATTTTTCGAAGAATTTATCGTATGTATTTTATTTTATAGTCAATTAGAAGTATTTAAATTGTCTTGAGAAGTTAATCGATTTGACATTTTAATAGTTCCAAATTTAAATCTGTAATTTATTTTTAATAATTGATATTCCATATCAATCTGGTAGCTTTGAAATACTTCCCCATTAAAATTTGATAATCAAAACAATCATACTAGAGTGGAATTCGAATCCTCTATCTGATGAACTACAAAACAATGTCTTAAGACATATACACATGAATTCATGAGCTACTCTTCATGTATAAATAAATAAATATGGTGAGGTAGATATTAAGAAAAATATCTATTTACACACTATAACTTAACTCTTATTACATTTTGAATTATTTGGACTTTAGTTTGGCAAATATTGCTTATAACTTAGGCTATATCAAGAACACGAAATACAGATACAAGTCGACCCCCCTATAACACTGTTGATAATTCCGTTTTATATGAATTCCATGTTGTACGAGTCACTTATATTTTACAAATACGTGTACCGGGCTGTGAACGGCTCACGTATTTGTAAAATCTAAGTGACTCGTACAACATGGAATTCATATAAAACGGAAAAATCAACAGTGTTATAGGGGGGTCGACTGGTATA